AAAAAAAAGAAAATCAGACAATTGTAAAAATATAAGCAATATTGAAATGAAGGTGGGTAGGTTAGTCGAAAATAAAACAATGGTCTTTTATCCTAAAAAAATGACGAAAAAATAAATAAAAAAATAAAAATTGTTGGTCTAATTAAAACAAGACTTTGGTTTTTGTGCTTGTTTTGACACACAACAAAACAATGGTTTTTGACATGATGGAACAAACGGATGACCTAAGCGCATACGTTGATAGCTCGACTGAATGAATGAATTAATGAATCTTTAATGATTTTTTATCCCAAATCCCAAGATTTTGTTTTGACTAACTAAGAAAAAATGTTTTTATTTTATTAAGAGAATATTTAAGAAATTAAAAAAAAAATATGGACAACATTTCATTAATTTTGTATGATGAGCTCAATTTGATGTTCAATTAAGGTGACCAAATTAAATAAAAAATTTGATTTAGAAAAATGTTTGTGAGCTCAAAATATTAGGTCAAATTGTGTGTGAAGAGAGAAAAAAAAGTGAACAAAAATAAAATTAAGAAAAAAACAAACACTTTAATTAAGAAAATAATGGTATAAAAATATGGAAGAACACTTATATAAGACATTTCATTGATTTTTGTATGAGCTCAATTTGATGTTCAATTAAGTGACTAAATTAGATTTTTTTTTTTTTTTTTTTTTTTTTTTTTTTTNNTTTTTTTGCTTTTGTAAAGTGTTTGTGAGATAAATAAATAAAAAAGGTCGATTTAAACTAATACAAAAAACACAATTAATTAAAAAATGGTATAAAAAATATTAAAACAACTTATAATAAATTTCAATATTTTTGGTTGAGCTCAACAAACTAGGTCAAATTGTATGAGAAACAATAAATTAAATTAAATTATTAACACGACAAGAAAATAAAATAATATTAAAAAAAAAAAGCTGACCTTGAGACTTTAATTTACTTTTAATTTGGGAGCTCTACTCTAGGTCAAATTAAAATCATTTTTTTTTTTTTTTTTTGTGAGCTCAACTTATTAGGTCAAATTTTGTTTGACAAAAAAAAAAATAATAATATAAAACAGTTATAATATAATAATAATAATATTAATAAAAAATAAATTATTAGATAATTAAATAAACAGACCTTGAGAGCTCATCCCACAGAGGACCCTTTTGATTGGCCTCCTTAAACCTAGCGTCCAGCCTCGTCCGCACCTCCAGCAGGCTCAGCGTCTCCTGCCTCGGCCACCGCCCGCCGCCGTCGACCTCCGCCACGAAACCCACCGCTCCGATGGTCCCCACGGCGGCGTATGGCGGCGGCGCGGAGTAGTCGTCCGGGCAGAAGTCGAGCACGTAGTACGGGTGGGCCGCGGGCTGCTGGGTCGCGGCGGTGGCGGGGAAGAGTGGCCGGACGGCGACGTATGGACGGAGATCCGCCGCCATGCCGTAGTTGTCCTCCATTTTCGGGGAGGCGCGTGGGGAGAACGCGCGGCGAGGGTTTTCTAATTTTTAGAGAGAGAAAGCGAGAGAGAGAGAGAGATAGAGAGCGGGAGAGACGGATCGTGTCTAGGCGAAAAAAATAAATGGGGGGTTTTCTAATTATTGTTCAACTGGAGAGGACGATGGTGGGCCCTACGCCATCAATATAAGGTTGCAGCATCTCTATTATCTATATATCTCTTTGTATTATACACATATTTTGTGTATCTATTTATCTATCTATGTGTGTTGTTAGTGTATTTATGTAGGGTTTTGTTGTTATGAGGAATAGTGAAAGGAGTTAGTAAGATTGGGGGATTGGGGTGGGGTGGGGTGGGGTGAGGGAAGGGTGATTCTACCGGTTGGTAAGAGTACTTTTTTTTTTTTTTTTTT